TTCGAACCCGCGGCCTCAGCGCTACCAGCGCCGCACTCTCCCGAGTGAGCCATGGGGCCGGCCCACATTCTGAATATTAATCCTTTGTTCATCCTATATATCTATAGAGCAAATGTCTTCCCCCAGCCTGTGACTACTTTAAAATAATACCTTTTAATAAAAGTTACAAAGTTTAATGTGTTCATATTTATCGATATTTTCTCTTTTAGAGTCAGTATTTTATATTTTAAGAATTTCTCTCTACCCTAAGGTCATAAGGATATTTCCCCACCTTTCCTTCCAATAGTTCTAAAGTTTTATACTCTCCACATTTAGGCATTTAATGCCTGTAAAAGTGATCTTCTCGTATAGTTCAAGGAAGGGCTCTAACGTTTTTTTCCATTTGGATAACTACTCCCATTCGTCGATGAGCCCGTTTTATCTCACTTGCTCGTGGCACTGGGGCTGCCTGTTCTGCTCCCCTGTCCATCTGCGCCACAGCAGTCCTGAGCTGCCTGCCGCCTTGATAAAATCAGCCCTGAATCTGGGAGGGACCCTCACTTCAAATTAATATTGGCTATTCTTGGCCTTTCATTCTTAATTTTAGGATTAGTGTGCCAAGTTTCATGAAAAATCCTGCCAGATATTTTACTGGAATAGCTGTGAGTTTATATATTTGGGGAGAAATAACATCTTTACATATTGAGTCTTTTTATTGACTTTCCATTTATCTAAGTCTTCGATAACATTTTGTGATTTTATCCTCAAAGGACATACATTTCTTGAGAGATTTATTCCTAAGTACCTCACACTTCTTGTTGCTAATATAAATTGAAGCTTTTTCTTTTCCCAAATGACATTTCTAACATTTTAAATTATAATTTCCTATCAAAATCAGAGTCCTTCAGTATGTCCCCTATGTCCCAAGCATGCCACCCACTAAATGACTCCTCCTCCTATCTCCTTACTGTCCAGAGTTTTAGCTTGGCCCTTTTAAGAAAATACAAAACAGCCCATGGCTAATTAAACCCATCCACATTTAGAAACTGTTCTCTGTGCACCATGCCCGCTTCTGTGCCTCGCTGCCACCATCCTGCTGGTAGTGAGGCTGTGGGGCTTCAGCGCTCTTAGGTCTCAGCTGCCAGGAAGTGCCTTCATGTCCCCCCTGCTCTTCAACAGTACTTCTGTGGGGCACATGTGACCCCCGGCACGTTTTGGGAGATGCGCACTACCAATGGCCCGCAGTTGCCACACGCGTGGAGAGCCTCGTCCCGCTTCTCCTGCCTCCTCCTCCGTTCTGGAGACATGCTCTCCACCTGAGGCTTCGCCAGCATTCACTCCAGGCTCCCCTGGGGCCTCGCACGCTCGTCCCTGTTCTCTTACTGCTCTTTCCCATTCCTGTCTGTCCTACTGCGCTCTTTGTGTCTAACCTAGTTAAGTGGACGGTTCCTTCATGTGTGTTTTCCATGTGGCAAGCTTGCCCACTCCACAGTCTATACTGAGTGTTTCCATAAA